ATTTAGTAATGAATAAATATTTTCAAAATGTTTTAGTAAATAAATAATTTACATTTCAGAACAGTGTAAAAATTTATAAATATAATTAAAATGAATGAAGATACAAATTACACATTGTTCTAGAGATCTGTATACAACATTCTAAAAATTAAAGTATTTTAATTACTCTTTTTCTACATATAATAAGAAGCTCTAACTAGTACGAAGTATAGTAACATCATCAGAAATTCAGTATTTACCAATAAAAGAGTAGGTAAATGCATTATACACATATAAGAACTAAAAGCGTGTGAAAGAAATAGCAATATATTCAACTACATATTAAATACATACATTTTATACACACACACACACACACACACACACACACACACACACACACACACACACACACAGAGTTATACCCTATCATTTCTGTATTGGAGTTGCCTTCATAATTCATGTTAAAATGTAATTGAAAACAAAAAGTATTTAGAAATGGTGCCTTTGGACCAGCAGGTGGTAATGGTTATGTGGCTGGACTCCCACGTAGTTGACCACCGTTTAAGTATTGGACCCCTGGCTTAAACTCGTGCCAGGCGCATGTGCGTGCATGCCCACAATCTCAAGAGGAAACTGGAGAAGGCATTGTGATATGGCTATCCTCCCAGGGAGTGATTTCTCAGTTTCTATCTCTCTGTCTCTCTAGTGAGCACTTGTACCTTATAACAAAAATCTTCCTAAAAATTAAAAAAGAAATGATGCCTTTTGGAAGACATTAACGTAGAGCTCTGGTGAGTAGAATTACGTGCATTTGTAAAGGGTATTACAGAGGGTGTTTGTCATTTTTGCCCTCCTGCATTCAGCCATGTGAAAACACAATATTCTTTTCCTATGAAGATTCCAATGACAAGCACCATCTTATAGGCAGAGAGCAGCATTCACTAGATAATCACACTTGCCACTACCTTGATCTGGACTTCACAATCTCCAGAGTTGTAAGAAAATTAATTATTGTTTTTATAAAGTACTTAGTCTGAGGTTGTTTTTATAGTGGTGCAAAGATATATATGACAAATTTAAATTTTTTATATATATATATATATGTATATATATATATATATATATATATCTTTACTATTTTGAGGTTAATGTGTTTTTATTTGTATTTCTTAAACAATATTTAAACATTAAGTATTTAGGACAAACATCAATTTGAAATATAGCCCTCTACATTCTTGGATTTTACCTCTATTGATTGAATCGACTATGTATTAAAAATACAACAATAACGAATAATACAAATAAAAAAATACAACATAGCATAACAATGACCTACATAGCATTTATTGTTCTAGGTATTATTAGTAATCTAGGGATGATTTAAAGTATAGCAGATGATATACATCAGTTATATGCAAATGCTATGCCATCTTATATAAGGAACTGGAGCGTTTGTAGATTTTGGTATCCGAAGAGGTCCTGAAACTAATCTGCAGATACCAAGGGATGACTGTGCTATATAGTACATTGTAATATAGTGTATAACATTTTATATTTCTATATCATATATAATGTGTGTATGCATATTTACACACACAGAACTTATTGAGTAATAATTATACACTTAACCACATGCATAGCACTTTATGTAATTTATCTCTGTTAGCCTCATAATAGCCCTAGTTCCATTTTTAGATTAAGCAACTGAGGATAAGAGATTCTATAATATATATTTCTAGTTGAGGTGGCTAAAAAATACCAAATCTTACATGTAAACCCAAGTATACTTTGTGTCAAAGTTTGTGAAAGTTTCCACAGACACATAAAATTTGACTAAATACGAACATAACTGCCATTAATGTGTACTTAACTTTATATTATACCCATATGAAACATCAACACTGATGTGTCTATCTTTTGTGGATTTCCATATCTATATCTATATATTAATAGTAGTCAAAAACATATAAGTTCATGTTTAAAATAAATTTACACAAAATATGGATGACTATAGGATTATTTAGATAACTCTGATATTTCAGTTATAAAAACATACTTCAACACAACAAGATTACTTGTAGCCTCAGATATCCCATTTAAAAGAATATAATGCCTTAAATAAAAAATATCATTTGGTTAGGGCATTCATTTCATTTGCATTCTTAAGTTAGGTGTCTGACAGATAATAAAAACAAAATGCAGACACAACAAAATACAAGAGGTTTTATGCCATTTTATTTTCATACTGATAAGAGAATAAAATGCCAACGTTTGTTTAAAAAGCAAAATGTAATATGGTGTAATAGCTGTGTAAGAAAGCTCCACTTGGGACCTGCAGATGGTGTAATGGTTATCACTGGACTCCCACATTACTGACTGTGATTCAAGATCCAGACCAGTGGGTTAAAGCTCATGCCAGATGCACGTGTGTACATGACCAAAATTCCAAGAGGAGAATGGAGAAAAAGAGATTGCAGCATGGCCACACCTTCTGGGAGGTGATTTCTTGCTTTCTGTTTTTCTGTCTTTCTCTGTCTTTCCAGCAAGCACACATGCCATATAACAAACTATCTCTAAAAAAAAAAAAAAAAAAAGCAAGCTACGTTTTATTATTTCTCTACTTATTCTATTTATAAATTATATCTTCTTTTGCTGAATTTGGACTCGTTATATACATATATTTACAAAATGCTATATATTACGACTTAGAGGTATTAGTTAAAACATATTTATAGTATTTTTATTCTCATAAATGGAATATAAGATAATACATCAAAACAATTGCTGAAAATCTGCATTCATATACTTAATTGACTGCTAACTTTGGGGAAAAACCAGCAACTTTTATTATGTATGCAGATTTGATGTTGTTTAGAAATAAATAAAGTGGTAGGGGTGTGATTTGTTTCTATAGATTTAAATTTTAGAGCATTATTTACATGCTAGGTGGCTATAACTGAAAATAATTTTGGATAATTATACAATAAATAAATATAAACCTATAATTTCATGGATGTTATTTCAAACACAATTAACATAAAACAATTATTAATATCTTTTCAAAATTAACACAGCAACTCAGGCATAGTTATCTACAAATGCCACATTGTTATTTTCTTACTTTCTTATTTAAAACCAATTTAAAATGTGTATACAAACTGGCATGGGCTTTGGACATTTCTATAACCTGTAGGATATTTTTATGCATTACTTAATTTGAAAATCTTTTTATGCATAGAAATGTCATTAGTTTATTACATTTTTGATATAAAGT